TCTACAAAAAATAAACAACCAACCAACCAAAAAGAACTAACTGAAATAAATACTTGAGCTGTAAGTAGACAAATCTGGGCTCAAATCTAGTTCATACCACATGGTGGTGTTTAACTCTAAGCCTTAGCTTCTCAAGTAGTGAGACTGGTAATGATCACCCTTCACAGAGTTGTTAACTTGGAAATAGGAAAGTGATGGAAAACATTGTCCATAATTGGGTAGGGTAGCAAAGGGTGTTAGTAAAAGGAAGACTATTACTAAGAAGAGCATTATATGTAGGCTAAGGAAAGGATTTTATTCAACCAGGTATTTTTTTTCTTTTCTTTTCTTTTTTTTTTGCAGTTTTTGCCCGGGGCTGAGTTTGAACCTGCCACCTTCAGCACGTGCGTCCAGCACCCTCCTTCTTTGAGCCACAGGCGCCACCCTTAACCAAGTATTTCTTTAGTTAATAGAACCTTATGTTAACTGAAATCAAGTCTTTTCAACTTCTGGGCCCATTCTCCCTGCCTAAAATCCAAAGTCTCCTAATAATCACACAATATTCATACCTACTTATTTATTCTTCTTTTTATTTTTACAAAGCATGGTAAAATAAGGAAACAATTGACAGGTGAAGAGTTTGCACAATGGAAAACCACACTGACTGTCTCATACATAAACTTTACCAGGAGCGGAGGTGTTTTAAGTGTCCTTTAGAGTGATTTTGTGATAGAAGAGTCATCTGAAATGATACTCACGGCAGAGGAGAGGAAAGAAATGAAATCAACATCCATGATTATTTAAAATGACCTAGAAGCTAAACATAATATACATAGTAACTCTTTTTCCTAGTATAAAAATAGTGCCAGAAACTATATATTTGTTCAAAAATATTGAAAAGGTATAAGAATACAAATAGATATTAACAGTGGCTAGTGATGATTCACAATGTTTTCTTTTCTTGAACTGTAATAGAAATTTATATTTTCAACTATTTACATGGCTTTCAACAACATTCATTAAGACATGTTTACACAGGCTTTTGATAAGTAAATGGAATGGCAAAGTGAGCTTTAATACTTTCTTCTTCGCTCCTTGTGGTAGAGCAGAAGGGGTCCAAAACCGTGCACAAGAGAACAGTCCAAGAGAACAGAGTAATCTCTACCTGGCTAGAATATGAAAAAAAAGTCTATATAGAAGAATATATGATTCCACACATAAGGTGTTCTTTAACTATCAACAGGTCAAGTGGTTCATCCTTGCAAGAAGACAGGTGTATGTTCACTGGTAGTTTCTTAATATGTTTCAGGTAAAGAAGGTGCATGATACTTATGTTACAGATGACAATGAAAGTGACATAACGTACCCTAAGTTTTCATGTTAAATTGGCAGTATGAGAAGCTGTTAAAAGTCTTTTACCCAGCACCTCCTGCATAGACTCTGAGCTCCTTGAGGTCACTGCTCTGTCTCCATGGCAGAGCATAGTACTTAATATGTGGCAGGGACTCAATAAAAGATGGGTGGCCTGACGCATGCGTGATGGTGAGCTATTAGACTGTGCCAACTGACCTACAGCTCTTCCCAAGAGAGGATGGTGATTACACTCTTCCTCTCTCACCTTAAACTGTCTTATAAAAAAAGAAGCATTGCTTGTGATGGCCTGTTAAGTTTTAAGAGTACGATCTGGTGAAAAATACGAAGTTATAAATCAAATTGAGACATGTCTGATATTTATGCTCTATACTGAAAATAAAGGCACTTTTACTGCCAAGCAAGCACAGAATTGTGACCAGTTTCCTCTAAGAAACCAGTATTTTCAGTATATTTTCATATACTTTCTTATCTCCATTACTCCTATTCAAGGGAATTAATTTTCATAATGAACAGATTTGTGACAACATCATCACCCTGGGTTTGTGTCTTGAGGCAAGGTACTCAAAGAGCCTGAACTCTCATATTCACTAGTGATCTGGATGTGAAGCTGAGGAACTTACTGTCTTTGTTTTCTTCAGTCTTGGAAACTCAAGAGAAGAAGTGACATGTGGGATTAGATCTCTGCTCCCTAGACCAATGCCCCATGTCTGACAATGGTCTCTGGGGTCCACTGGGGCTGTGCCGTGTAGCTGCCTTCTGTGACATTCTCTGTGAAGATAAATGCTTTGCCCAAACACTACTCCTTTAAAAGTATGACGTGTTCATGTGCACACAGGTTAAATGACTTACACAAGCTCATGCAGAACTGTGATTGGCAAAGGCCAATTCATGGAAAAATATAAGGCCAGGCATTTTACAGACATCTTGGAACAAATTAGTAAAGTAGTAAAATAGTGGGGACTTTTCTGGCTGCCAACTGAAACTAAACAATATCATGTTACTCTACTCTAAACACTCTAGAACAACTTCTGGCTAGTTCTGGGTAATATAAATATAAGGTAGGGTGAGGGAAGACCACGTATTTTTTTCTAACTTGAGAAGATAGGAAAGGAAATATTCACATAAAAGCAAGAACTCTGATTTGTGCCCATGAACCACAGATATTAACCCATGTAAGGAATAATTTTCCTACAAATTAAATATTATTTGAACCAATTAACCAGTCCTAAAGGAGTTCTTTATGAAGAACCTCTTCTGTATGAACTAAAATACTGAATAATAAAATAAAATAGGTACGGCATTGCCCAACTTCTTTTAATGTCTAAACTACTAAGTGAAATAAACCACTATCCAAAGGCAAACCAAATAAACAATTTCTAATCTAAATATATCTTATTGCTTATTAAAATGACACACATACAAATCCATGTTTACAAAAAATGCTCAGTGACATATATTAGAGGGGTTTAAACAAATACTAAATTATATAACTACATATTTTAGCATAATTGCTAAATCACAATGTGCGTGATAAAAAATTTAATAAAGATTGCTATGCTTTCAACAATTTTTCTATACTGAAGGAATTAGGGATGCATGCAGAAGTGTACACCAGTTTGTAATTCTCATTTCAGTGACAGTCTGTGTAATTTACACATCAGCACCAAGACACAACCTTACAGATTTCATCTGTATGACATAAAAATAACATCCTGAAAGTACAACAAGAATGTATGTAGCATTAAACTGTTGATAACAGCTTAGATCAGCCTACAAGATAATGGCAGTACAATTTGTTTTGCTTTTTTTAAACTGAATGTTAAGAAAAAAGCCACCACCTTATGTGTTTGTGTGTATATATATATATATATATATATGCACTCAGGATTTTAAAAACTTAGCATACATGTTAAATTTTAGGCAATGTTTAGAGGGGAAAGATATAAATGGAAACTATGTTTTGGTGAAAGTTCTTTGAGAATGCTGAATGACTATACCCCCCAGAAATTTTCTAGCGCTATAAACTCAGGCTGAATATCTTTGGGGGGAGTGGGTAGAAAAAGTTAACACATCAAACAAATCGTTTTTCTATTTTTTTCCAAATCCAAACATTCCTGAATATTTGGAACCCTTTTCCTTTCCTAGACCAGTTGCTCAATTCATCATCTACTTTTGCAATATTGAATAAATGTGTTCAACAGTAAGCCACTTAAATGGGGCTCAAGTTCTGTAAAAAATGTTGGAGGTACTACATGCTACGGGAAGGAAAAACCACTGACCATCAGCCAAGGGCCAGTGTTTAGGCTACACAGCCTAACCTCTCTGATTCTGGGTTCACTTGTCCTATAAATGAAAATAGGGCAGTTTCATAATCACGATACTGCTATGTTTTATTCAGGCAGAAGGTTTCTTCCCTTACTGCGTCCCTGAATTCATCTTTTGACCCCAGTGTTGGTAATAGCCCCAGGCTGGTGATGGAGTTAAACCTTTACTTGACAGAGGGAAAAGTTCATTTTATGGCCTTTTATCTATAAATCATGCCTCACTTTAGGTCATGATCCAATTGCCAGCAGTCCCTGGGTTACAAACAAGACAGGTTCTGTAGCTTTGTTTTTAAGTTGAATTTGTATGTAAGTTGGCACAGGTACATCTACCTATTCCCCGTAACAGCCTCCACTGTTAAGTGTGAGTTGTACTAAGTCGATGTTTGCAACTTAGGGACTTCCTGTATCACATTTTTCTCACCATCCTGTTAGGATGTAAGCTTCTGCCCTACAAACTATGGATCGTAAGGAGATAAAAGATGAGAAACGTTTAGAAAGAAGTTCAGAAGGAAAAAGGCTTTTAGAGTGATCTTTCAGCAGAACATTTCTCTTTGCCGACAAACATCTACGGCCTGGAATCTGATTCTGCTTCTGGATCACATTCATCCCTCAGTGAAGTCAGTGACCTGATCTTCCACCAAGGTTTCTGCTTAACATCAAATAGGCGAGAATGAAGTGACTTTATAATGCACTACACTAAAATGACAAAGTTCTCTCCTGTCTGTCCTCTCACAGAAATGGCAGACCAATGAAGTGACACGTCATCTCTACAATACTGCCTCACGGTACTTGTTTTTTTTGAGACAGAGTTTCACTTTAGCGTCCTCAGTAGAGTGCTGTGTCTTCACAGCTCACAGCAACCTCCAACTCTTGGGCTCAAGTGATACTCTTGCCTCAGCCTCCCTAGGAGCTGGGACTACAGGCGCCCGCCACATTGCCTGGCTATTTTTTTGTATTTGTCGTTGTCGTTTACCAGGCCCAGGGCATGTTTAAACCCCCCAGCCCTGGAGCATATGGCTTGTACCCTAACCACTGAGCTACGGGCACCTGCCTCACAGTACTTTATGTTTGATTCAGAGTGGCTCTGCATTTTGTTAAGATATTGTTGACAAAATATACTTGTTTCTCCTTAAAATCCATTCAGCCAGCATTTTTCTGTCCTAGGAAGGCTTTAAATGTCACAGAATGTATTCAATTTGCCCTTAGCCTACTTCTGAGAAAGGAAAGAAAGATTCCAAACATTCTTTAAAAACTGGTAATTCAGGAAACTAAAACCAAGTGTTCAAACCCCCTCCCCCCCAAACCTCAGTGCAACAATCCCACTTGCACTTTGCAGAACACAAGATAGCACAAACCTCACTCTTTCCCAGTGTGTGAAGTGTGAAGAGTGGGTGTGGTCGATCATCTCAGTTCAGTGGCATAAAACACATATACAGAAAATATGGTATATAGTCCCCGAAAAAGAAGTTCATGCTTACGCTCTCAAAAGTTGTGCAAAAAATAAAAAATACAGCAGTGGCAAAGTATACACCAAATCTGTACAGTGTACAGTGAAACTCGGAGACTGTAGAATACGTCATCTCTGTAAACCTCAACTCCGCATGAAACAGGCCACTCAGTTCCTCGTGGCCTGGCTGCTTTCCCCATTAATTAGCATCTTCTCCTGCTGTTCCGCGAGGGCCTCCCATTTTTGCCTGTTCTTTCTGCAGCCATCTAGCAAAGGGAAACAGTCTTCTGATACATGTGTCAGGGCCTAAAGAAAGAAAAAGAAATCAAACAACGAGAAGGAAGTCCGGAAATAAGCCCTCTCCCAAAGCCCTGTCCAAAAGGGCCTCAGCGCACACACATGTCAAAGAAGGCCCACCGCTGGGATTTTCACAAGCCGTGTGAATGCACAAGCAGATCATTTACGCACGATTTCTTATAAGCTCTACAGATCAGGAACACATGCTGAGAGATGGAGTAAAGACTCACGTTCCAGGATAACATGGTTGAGCTATGGAGAAAGATCTGCGGGGACTCCACTTTTAGGGGGAGTAAGGCATTTTGTTTCTACGTAGTACAGTTGTCTCTCCCTGAGTGTGACTGCACTGGGAGCGCCTTAGTTTTTCTTTTTCTATAGAATGGCTTTGTACCATGTACTTACATGGGTTTTTAACCCTATATCCCATTATAATAATGATTAATTCATAATTTGGTGTGGCATTATTATTTACCAACTGTAGTGCCATAATTGTTCAGCTACAAGAATGTTCATTGCAGATTTCTTCATTATAGAGAAACACTGTTACCCCAACAATGGGCCTTGTGTTACCCTTTGGAGCTATTTAAAATACCCCAGAAACACACATGACACATCAATATGTATAGGATGATATATATGATATATTATGGATTGAAAAAGCAACTTTTGTTAAACAAAAAGGACATAAAAATGTCATATAGCATTTCTGGGTAGTGAAATTGTGAGTGATTTTTATCTTCCTTTTTGCTTCTCAGTATTCTCCAGTTTCTCTATGGTGAAAACACATTACTTCTGTAATAAATAATGGTAAAAATACACGTCAATATCACATAGAATTTTCAACAGCCAATTCAAAATGAATCCTTGCATATATATGTAGGAGGATAAAATCTATAATGGGCAACCTGCCTACTATGTTCAAAGGTGTCTGAAACACTGCACTGATTATACTTGTAAGGAACAATTTTTCAACAAAGGAGTAAACAAACAGAAACTGATGAAAGCGCGCACAGAGTCCTTATTAAATTATTTTGATGGTGAGAGCCTTGGACTGGGGAGGAGAACTGGATTCAGATGCAGCTCTCCCACGAACTGCCTATTTGGGGCAAATATTCCATGTCCCTGGGACATGCACTTTACATGAACAATTACTGAATCTGGATTAGAATATCTGTAGGGATATTTTCTGGTCTTGCTATTCTAAGGTGAATCCACGACAAGTTCTTTTCTTAAATAACTAAAACTTCAGTTTCCTGTTTAAACTTTTAAAGTCAAAGATATCCTCTTCTTTCTGTACTTGGTTCATAAACATCTAAACTAGTAAATTAGATGTTTCAGGGAAAACACTCCCCCAAAACCAAGCCAACAAATGTATGGCAATGGGAGGCTGGCCACCTCCTCTTAAGCCTAAAAAGTTTTCTTACCAATATTAAGTCACATTATTATGATGAGAAAAGTTTAGATAACGATTTTTCCATATTTAAGCTAAAATTTAGACTTACAAGAGAATATGCTAATATATGGTATACATAATATATCTCCTTGAGAGTACCATCGTCATGAGATTCTTCTTAGCAACTCCTAAATCAGTTTGTTGAAGACGTCACAGAGTAGGCACTCAATAGATATTAACATGCTGAATGAATTAAAGATTTTGAGAAACAGTAAATATAGAATGTGTTCCTTGTTCAATATAAATACATTCATCAGTAAAAGAAACAATACTACTAATTTTATTTATTGATTTAGAAGCAAAAAATATGTGCCTAGTATTAATCTCTTTGATTTACTTTAGGTTTTAATTCATAAAAGTGTAGAAAGTCCACTAGTCACATAAATACCTCATATAGTTGCAAGCAGATGGCATCTATGAACCCAACTTGCATACTTGGGATTTTGTTTTTCTTCTCCCTGTTCATCAGATCCTGAAGATACAAACACAGACACAGAAATTGTACATTTATTTAAAGAACACACTGAAGGCTGGCTCTAGCTCTACAAAGATGAATCAGTGGGTTAGCTTAGGAAGGTCAGATGGCAACTACACCCCAGTACCCCCCAACAAAAAGACACTATGCTTTATTTCCACGAAAACTATTCCAAAAGATAGAAGTGGTTCGAGAATCTTTTTCTTGTATTTGAGATCCATACTCTTAGGCACGTATGTAAAAAGGCAGTATGTATTGAAAACCTGCAAATTCTTCAACACAGCAATTCTGAAGATTGATCCAACAAGATAATGAAGAATGGCAGGCAAGAGTTTAGCAACACAGGTCTTTATCACAGTGCCATCTGTAACAGTGAACACCACACAAGCAAACACCACAGGAACTGGGTAAATTACTATTTCCTGTCACTATGATAAATAACACATAGGAGAGTATCGGTTAGAATGGAAAGTGGTTTTTAAACGGAAAAAGAAAATTACAAAGATGACCCCAAGAATCTTTTATGTGCTCTTTTATTTGCTTTGCTATCTGTAACGAATATGTATAATTCTTCTACTTAGAAAAAAGGCATTTTGTTTTGTCTCCCTGAGACAACGTCTTGCTCTGTTGCCTGGGCTAGAGTGCAGTGGTAGCATCACAAATCACTGCAACCTCAAACTCCTAGGCTCAAGTGATCTCTTGTCTCAGTCTCCTATGCAGCTGGGACTACAGGTGCATACCACAATGCCTGGCTAATTTAAAAAAAAACAAGCTTTTTTTTCTTTCTTTTTTTCTTTTTTAGAGATGGGGTCTTGCTATGTTGCTCAGGCTGCTTTTGAATTCCTGGCCTCAAATGATCCTCCTGCTGCAGCTTCCCAAAATGCTAGGATTATGAGCCACTGTACTTGGCTAGAAAAAAGGCTTACAAAATCAAATGAGAAACTGTGTTCCTTAGGCTCCTACAGAAGCATAAAAAAGAGTTTATAATTAAAAAAAAAAAATGGCAGTGAATAATTCCTACCAGCAAGGTCTCATACTTACAGTGGGTTCTATGTTGAGTTCCTTTCTCTCTCTGTCTCCTTGGTCAAAAAATTCAGTTGCTACGAGTTCTGCTATCTGAAATAAATAACAGACTGGGTTTTGACAATGAAAAGCATACTATTCTTTAAAACAGACTTTGAATGAAGGTCTTGTAACAGGGTATATATTTCCAATTCATAGAGGAGGAAGTCGAGGTCCAGAGATGAAGTCACTGGCATTGAGGCTACGACGGTGGATAGCAGCGTGGTATTTCAGTGTGAGAAGGCCATGTCCAAAGTGTGCTCTCTGACTTCTACACTACACTCTTCCCCACTTCTCTGAATCTTTCTCTTCTTGGTAGCTTCCAACATTTTCTCTTTTTTATTTTATTTAAAAAACTGTCTTCTTCCTTTATTTGTATCTCTCTCCCCCCAAAGAACACCTGGTTTCAGGGTTTCTTTCAGAAGAAAGGATAAATGAAAGGACAAACTCTTCCCTCTAATTCTCTGCCCTATTTGGAAATGAGCCTGTAGGCCTATTTATTATGGAGCAGGAAGGTTTGTAAAAGTCACTCCTCCTGAGCGCTCATGGCATGTTGGCTTTGGCACATGGACAGTGAGTTTCTGATTTTGTTTTCTTAGCACATCTAGGTCATGAGATGGATTTGTAGTTGTTAGGCTCTGTGACTATGCAGTCCAGGCCGTGACCAATAACACACTCAAGCCTTTATTGCCTCTGTAAAACTTCAGGGCAATTACTGATTTAGAGGGAGGGATTTCTTTATTAGCCTCCTGGCCAAAGACTTTAATCAGAGTCTTTGGGACATCTTATATCAATACTTCTTACATCTACCAAGTTAATGTACAGTTGTTAATATATATTTAGAGCCGAGGTATAGCTTAGTAGGATAACCATAAATAAAACAATTTTTTCCAGTTTTCAAGGTTATTAAAGGAACTATGCTAAAGAAATTCCCTAAGTGAGGCAGAAGTATATGTTGAGTATCCCTAATCTGTAATGATTGAGACCAGACGTATTTTAGATTTGTTTCTTCTTCCCGCCCCACCCCGATTTTAGAATATTTTCATTACACTTAATGGTTCAGCAACCCAAATCTGAAAATCTGAAATGCTGCAGTGAGCATCTCCTTTGACTGTCCTGGCAGGGCTCAGGAACCTTTGGATTCTGGAGTATTTCAGATGAGGGATACTCAACCTGTGGGACTAAAATGAAAACTTATCAATAGCTAGGTTTTTGCTGTGTTAACACGGGTGCTCTCTTTCTCAATATATCTTACATATATTCAGTGCAAATGAACCTTTGAAAAAGGAGAGCCTTTTTATGTCCAATTACTGATTTAATACTACTTAAAAATTAGGAAAAAAATTCCACATATACTTCCTTCAAAAGTTACCTTTGCAAGTAAAAAGTTTTCTTATTTTGACTTCTTAATTATTACTTTTATCATCACCAAGGAACATACCCGTTGTTGAATAGGCCATGGTTTTGTAATTGCAGAAAGATCACAAGCCGTCATCAGCATTGCTCTGTTCAGGGAAAATGAAACCCAAAGCTTCTATTTACTTTCATGGGAATATATATCTTCAGTAAATATACATAGTTACTAACAAAATTAAGTTAAATTAAGACCCTCCAAAAGGTGAGAATGGCAGTTTATAAAGATCAAAGAAATAGAAACAATGGATATAGAAGCCTAACTGATGATAGCCATATGGAGTGTTATTGCTTTTGTTACCCTTTGATGGACTGGGATTTGTCCCCAAAATGCCTCATTTAGCCCTAGATTGGCACAATGAAAAATTATTAACCTTTGGGTAAAAACTTGCTGCTATTATTTTTTACACCTTGGTATTCAATTCTTGGTGACAGTATGATAAAAGCATATTGATTATTAATAATTAACCACAAAGGACAATGACATTTCCTACTGGTCAAATTCCTTTTTCAGAAATTACAGAGGGTTGTACTAATGTACTCAACACATGTAGTGACTTCTACATGTCACTGTGAAAAATCTTTGAATGACTAATCACGTTGATCAGTTTTTTTCCTTTACTGTTTCTGCATGTTGAATTAAATTTAGGAAAGTTTTTTTATTCCTAGGTTATAGAAGAACTGACCCAGGTTTTTATCTGGTACTTTCATGGTTTAACTCTCCACAGTGAACTCTATGCTTCAGCTGGAATTTAAGTATGTAGAATAGATGCAATTCTGTCTTTTTCCATTTGGCTATCCACTCATCTCTAGCTTTTCTCCCGTTATTTGAAATGCCATCTTTATTATATACTAAGTACCCTATACAATTCTAGATTTTCTACTGTATGCCACTGGTCTGCCATCAGTACCAAACTGTTTCGTTTATACTGTATAGTAATCTTCTACGTCTCAACTCCCACCTATCTGCCCTACCTTTTCAGGATTTTTTTCAGGGGAGCTAAACACTTTGCAGCCACGTTGTGCTTTCATAATCCTTAGGATTCCATGGTCAGCTCTTCCATCCAAAGGATTAAGAAATAAATAAGGGAACCCTATAGCTTTATACCGATACTGTAGTACATTTTAAAAGTTCTTCTAGAACAAAGGAACGATTTGTTCACTTTAATTTGTAAATGCATTTCTTTTAAGTAAATATTTATATTCATTCCTTTGTACAACACTCTGGAAAAGTCTGACAGCCTTTAAGATCGTCACATTATACCCAATAATTGCCATAAAAACTGACAATGAGAAATTAATTGGATAACAAAACTTTGGCTTTAAGGATAGTAAAGCTACTTACAAAAATAACTCCTTTTGGTGAGGATCTTCCAAATTGAATTGATTCTTTCTTATAAGTTCAAAAAATTCTCCTCGCCTCCTTGAGAAAAAAAAAAAAAAGGTAGTTATGATGAGTCCTTAGACTCTTATCCTTTTGGTCTATGAGGACTATGGGGGTAAATTTTTAATTAAAAAAAAAAAACTAATGATTTTTTTTCCCATCTTAGAACCCAATATAAAAATCATCCTTTAAAACTGCTTTTAGAAAGGCAGCTTAATTATGCAAATGCATACTCACAGCACAAATACTATTGTCATGTAGGCTCTCATTTTAGAATCAGTAACTTCAAAGGTCTACACTAAAAGCCTTTGCCATCAAAAATCATATAAAAAGGAACAAGAGTTACTTGTCTGGCTTTTGGCACCCTAACTTTGGAGCACAGTATAAAGGAACTGTGAACCAGTTAGAGACTGTGGAACAAGGGAAAGGAGAAAATGCAAATGACCTGTGCAATCTCTGGACAATCTAGTATGGCATGATCTTGAGACAGCCACAGCAGTAGATAAACGTCAGAAATAACTACACATTCTATAATTTTTATAAATAGCAGTAAGCTAAAGGAATAGACTTTTCTGGTTACCTTTAAGAAACTACTTCATAGTTGGATAAACAGATTTGCCAGGATATTTATCCTTTAAAATTTATCAATATGGATGTTATAAGTTAGATGTTATGCAAATACTGTCTTTCTTTCTTTTTCTTTTTTTTTTTTTTGAGACAGTCTCACTCTGTCCCCTAGGCAGAGTGCCGTGATGTCATAGCTCACAGCAACCTCAAATTCCTGGGCTCAAGCGATCTTCCTGCCTCAGCCTCCCAATTAGCTGAAACTACAGGCACCCACCACAACACTCAGCCCTTTTTTAGAGACAGGGTGTCCCTCTTGCTCAGGCTAGTCTCGAACTCCTGAGTCCAAGCGATCCACATGCCTCCGCCTCCCAGTGTGCTGGGATTACAGGCATGAGCCACCACACACAGCCTGTGCAAATTCTTTCAAGATCTATTTCTCATGGTATTTTTTAACACTTACTTAATGTACAGGGCTAGGTCTGTAGCTAAAATAGCTTGCTTGATTATCTTCAAAGTGGTCTTATATTCTTCAATGGAGAGGCCGCTAAGAATCTGATTGCCCTTTATAAAAAAAAAAGAAAACCATTTTCAGCACTCTACCTGGAGAAACTGCGGACAAGAACAAAATCTGAAAACATAGTCATACATAGTTTAAACAAATACCCAGTATTCTGACCTCACGACTATGGGTTACTTAAATACCATGAACTAACGTTTTTCCTCTTTACTCCCACCCTACTGCCCTGTCATATAATAAAAACCAGCTTCGTAATGTTATCCTGGCCTACAGATGAGCGTTTTTCCAACCCTTACACTCCCTACAACTTAGTCCAGATCTGAACTCTAGTGGGTACTTATCCTTCCCTTTGGGAAGATTAATTGCTATAATCTTACAGCAGGCAAAACTTTAAAAAAATCAAAGCCATCTGGTGAAGAATGGACTGGTGAAATACGTAAACATTTGATTATTAAAAAGTGACTTCTTTATGGCTTTTAGTACAAACCTAGTAACATTTCTGGTACAAATTTAAATAATTTTAACTTCGTCAACTATGATAACGGTGGGTGTTCTTTAGGAATAGCTTTAATGTAGATGGGTAGAGGGCACAAGCCAAAGGAAAGCTTACTGGCTGGTAGTAAAAGCAAGCCTGGGGTGGAGTATCTGGAGGTGGTGGATCCATGTACAAATCATTGAAAGTTTTCACTACATAGTCATTTTTTATTTCTCATCTGTAATTTAAACTCAGTGGCTCTCTAATTTTGAACTAAGAAAAACACACAGGTTTGGGGCTCAGAATATACTCAAAACAATGTCTGTAAATGAAGTCAGATGTGCTTATTCAAACTCAGGGCCAAGAAAAAAATGCAGGGGCTTAGGAATAAGATCTGGAGGCAGAAGATTTGTTATAAAGGCAGGAGAACTGCTGGGTGTGCTAGGCTGGGGCTAAGACCCAGTGGTTTGAGGATAACTAGCTACTGAAATTGTGTCATGGATCTAATTAATGCCAACAATCTGTAATTACAACCATAAACATTTTAGAATCTGGGCCAAATGGAAAACTATACAGAAAACACTTTCTGATTCTTTTATTTTCTATAAGACAAAATGGTTTCAAGTAGGAAATAAAGTATCTTCTGGTGCTCTATTTTTTTTTTTCATCCCCAAAGGAGAGGCTGGAATATCTTACATAATTGTGCTTGCAAAGATAGACTATACAGATAAGTCTTATAATTTGAGCCAGCCAATATATACAGGCAGATTCCTTATACATTAAGTAATAATATATTAGAGTAACAGAGGTAATTATAATAGGAATACTATCAAATATGCTTTTAATAAAAGGGTAGCATATTTTCTTTCTTTGGAAATGATTTTGTAAAAGGATATTAAAGTGAAAGTTTTAACAGGAGCCCACAGGTAGCAAATTCCAAGAAAAGTACAGATGTTTTTACTATAACATGACAGATAGGTCATCACAAAAGCTTCAAGATAGACCGTGTTATGGTCTACTATTTTACTTCAAGGAAACACAGTGGACAGCATCCTTTCTGATTCAGTCGTGCAAATTTCAGCTTGCTCTGCTCACAGTCATTGCTGGGAGGGCTTTACTTGTTTCTGTCCATGCAGATTTTATGTTTCTTGATTTTTGTATATCTCAAAACTTTTGTTATGACTCACAATACTTTTCCTTAAAAATCTCAGTTCTAAAAACTGTACACTAAAAGTAACATGGTTTGTGGGAAAAACGGTATTAGGGCAGAACACTCAAACCCTAAGCATCTTTGTAACCAGAATTAAACCAAACCAAGACCTGCAACCTCTGGAGGTAACTTGAATGGCCCCAGTCTGGTAGGGCTGAGGCTTCCTCTGAGATATTAAAGATGTCCGGAACAATCATGGGGGAGTGCTGGTTGGTGGGGTCCTGAGATAGTGAGGATGGGACAGGATTACTGGCACACCAGGGCTGCCAGAAGGTGGGCACTGACGGGAGAGCAAGCTGCCAGGAGCCGAGGCAGGCAGGCACGGGAGACAGCTCAGGGTGAGTGCCCCGTTTTTAATATTATTATTATTTTCATCTGAAACAGATTCTCACTCTGTCGCCCGGGGTAAAGTGTTGTAGCATCAAGCTCACAGTACCTCTAACTCTTGGGCATGAGCAAGCCTCATGCCTCAGCCCTCCCCAGGAGCTGGGCCTATCGGTGCCCACCACTATGCCCGGCTAGCTTTTCTATTTTTAGTATAGACAAGGTCTCGCTCTTGCTCAGGCTGGTTTCAAACTCCTGAGCTCAAGCGATCCACCCACTTCCGCCTCCGAGAGTGCTAGACTGTAAGTGTGAGCCACTGTACCCAGCCTCATTTTTGAATGGAAAGGAGCCAAGCAGAGGGCTTTTTCCTTTTTTTGCTAAAGGCCAAAATTCAACCTCCACAATTCTGGCACTTCTTACTCCAGAAAATTTATGTATGAAATGATAACAACTCTGCAATATACCGGCATCATTCTTCTACTTACTAATCACACATGCAGACCAGGTGCTAGGCCACATGCAGAATTTATGAGGAGGTTTCCTACATAGGTTTGTAACTCTTAACCTTTCCCTCACACTGAGGTGTTCAGGGAGCAGTGAACACATGCTGTCCTTCACCTCCGGTAGGAGAGAAGGCATGAAGTCCTGTGCACGTCTCCTGGAGGTGGAGGGGGAGCGAGAGTGGATTTGTGTCTGATTCCTGTCTGGAAAGGACAAAGGCAGGACTCGGGCTGGCTAGCTACTCTGTGGCTATGTGAGATATCTCCACAATGAGGGTCCTCCGCAGGGATCAAGAAGATCCTCATGAGGAAAGAACTCAGGTATCTCCGTAGTAGTTTTCATGGAAGTTGTACTGGTTTGCAGTCCCACTAGCAGTGTATAAATGTTCCTTTCTCTCCACATCCACACCAGCATCTCTTGTTTGGGGACTTTTTGATAAACATCATTCTCACTGGAGTTAGGTAATATCTCATTATGGTTTGGATTTGCATTTCCCTGATGATGAGAGACTCTGAGCATTTTTCATGTTTATTGGCCATTAGTCTATTTTTGTTTTGAAAAGCTTCTGTTCGTGTTTTTTGATCCCTTTTTTTGTAGTAGTAAAATTCAATGGAAACCAAGCAGGTGGGGCCAGGGGAAGGGGGCGAAAAGGACAGGTAAATCCACACCTGATGGATACAAATGCACCAAGGCACACTGTCTTGGTGACGGGCACATTTATAACTGTGACTTAAACTGCACAAGAGCAATTCATGTAACCAAAATGTTTATACCCCTATCATATTATGACATTTCAAAAAGAAAAGAACTCAGATTAAACCCCTACCAGGCACAAAGAGTGAGATGCTTTATAATAATACCAATCTGTTGAGAATGTTCTGGCCCCTCTTCTTACCTTTTCTCCCTTTCCATTCTCCAAGTGTGAAGGGGCGAGAAACTACATGGGGATTTGGGAGTGAGGAAGGAGTTAGAAGAAACACAAGGTACAGAATGAGAGAAGCCGACCGCCGCAGTAAAGGGAGAATGTGAAACTTTAAATCATATTCAGAATTCGGACTCTTACCTACTACTGGACATTTTGGTTTCTGAATTGAGAATGACATACTATATTTTGGGACCTAAAGTAACTACAGGGCTTTTACTTATAAAAGAGTGGCCAGAAAAATGGGAATTTCTGAGTTTTATCCAAGGCCTCAGAGAAGAGCTAGCCCCGTTCGGCAAATGTCTGGTGATAAAACTACTTTAAGATTCTGTGTCATGCATTGTGCTTGTTCAGTCTAATAGTTATGACTTTCATTTTTTTCTTATTCTAAAGACACTATATACATACAACAGATAATGGGAATGATGAACAAATCAAAAAAAGAAAAGTACCAACAATTTCACTAGACCAACAAAACCACTGCTACCATTTTAGTATATATTACTTTAATCTTACTTACTTTAACGTAAGTATGTTTAATATAGCATACACCTTCTTGCACGGATACATATACATTTAACAAAAGCTGTTACCGTAGCTTTATTTCTTAATAAAACAGTTTGTTGGTGATTAGGAATTTCAGTAAAAAAGAGGAAAATGTATTGTCATGTGACAGAAAGCCCTAGAGCTATATAAACCACATCATTTGATTTTTTTTAAAAAAAGCAGAATTAACTGAGAGCCACCAATGCCATTTTTGTTTCTTTCTAATTTGGAGTAGTCACATAGAATTGAATAACCAGATTTCCCTCATCAGGCAACATTTAGACAGCTTGGGTTGTCTAGAGAAGGGAGGCTGTGAGGATCTCAAATGTGCTGGCTTTGCCTTCCTTACCCAAAAAGGAATAAAGTATGTTCAAGAATGTATGATGCTGGGAATAAATCCAAAACCTAAAAATAAAACTGAATTTATAAAGCTCACTTAAAAAGATTCCACAGCAGTAAATTAGGTACTTACAGGACTATTAAGAATCATCAGGCACTGGTCAAAATGATGGTGTTCCATGATGGAATGGCAGTAGAGTTGAGCGAGCGGGTGTTCACTTCTGAAAATATATTTTGTTGAAGAAAGAGAAAAAGTCAGTTTCCACTGTGTCAGTTTATCAGTTCGTTCTTATTATTGGCTAACTAAAAAAGAGGCTACGTCACAAAATTAATCAAACCCACAATTTTCTCTCCTCTTACGGAGAAAAAAGTGAGTTAATCTCTGGGAAATAGTTACAAAGAGTTAAACTGCTTTCAAATACCAATGGAACTGCTACTAGCTCTAAGAATGAACAATTTCATTATTTTTAATATTGATGAAAACAGTAGAAGGAATAAGGACTTATTCCATTTCTCTAAACATGGAAAACAATCCCTCTAAAATAGTTGCACTAATAAAAACTTTTCAATTTCAAAAGTGCAATTGACTTAAAATTGGAAACAAATTCTCATGCTAGCTTTTCCCCTGACGTAATGCTCAGGTTGAAAGTCAGCTTGCTCCTTTGTGTCTGCAAATACAAAAAGGACCAAATGAGACGGATTTAACTGAGGTTAAGAGAGCTGGAAGGCGAGGAAGGAAGGGACCCATGGTCAGAGCACATGCTCCCTAGGAAGGAAGGAGGGAAGGGAGGGAAGGGAGAAAGGGAGGGAAGGAGGGAGGGAGTTAGAGAGTTCCCCATGTGGGATCCAGGCTATTTCAGTAGGATATCTTGCTAGCTCTCCAAACTGAACTTGGCAAAGCAGTAGATGGATGGAGAGGGGGACAGCATATTATAGTCAGTTCATTATATCTGTGAGACAGTCACAAATCAAGTTCTAAAGCATGACAGGCACAGCCCTCCACCTCCTATTTCTCATGACCCTTCGCCATATGTGGCTACCAAGCATAGTTTTCACAATTTCCTCTTTATAAGAAAATGTTTCTGTTTTCCGAAAGCCTCTGTTCCTAAAATGTATAGGAAAGAGGTTTATGAAATGCAAAACACAATATACAAGTGTGAGATAATATAACACTAATATCTGAATCATTATTTTACTTCGTATTTCATTTGTTGTGGAAGGAGAAGCTACTCATTGAAGAAATGCAATGTAAGGGAAAAAATGGGTAGAGTGAGAGAAGCTTGGGAGAAAACGGAAATACTACGGTGAAAACAAAGGTAAGAAAATGGGTGATCTCACCTATTCCTCTTGCTTAACCTATCACCTGTCCTGCTGACGTGTTGCCATGATGCTGCTATCACCTTTTCCAAATTAATTCTTGCCTGTCTTCTTTGTTCCCTCCACATTTAGTGAGTTGTCCTATGGGTCAGGTACTGTGTTCATCACTGGAAAATGGGAAGCCAATGACTGGAGTAATGTGAGCAGATTTTTGAGTAAGGATGAATGTTCTGGAAACGAGACTGGGTATGTATGGAGACTATTGGGAGCTAGATAGGAGAGCACTGGGAAACTTCAAGTAACCCAAATAAGAAAAAGCCCGGATCACAGTGGTAGCAGCCCAAAGGAAGAGAAGCGAAGTTATCTGAGAGCCGCTTAAGAGGTGGATAAGATACACGTTGGCAACGAATCCTGGCTGGGAGTGGGATGAGGGAGATGAGGGAATGAGGAAGATGAAAGGGAAAGTAGGAATGTAGTTTCTGCCTTGGGATGGTGTTTGCATTTATAGATACAGGAGGAAAGGGAGACAATGATTACAGCTGGGGGATGAAGAAGGGGCAGATGACTAGTTGGGTGTTGGATCTGTTGGTTTTTAAGGTGCCTGAGACATGCTCAAGTGGATATAAATGTCTGATCTCAGGTCTGGGTTGGAGTCAAACATTTGGAATGCATCAATAACCCCAGCCATGGGAGTAGACAAGATGGCCCAGGAGAAGGCCTATGTGGCCTATGATGAGAACAGAGGCGTAGGATTAAACAGGACCAATGACCTCCCCTGTGAATCTTGCATTGTATTCTGTATTCTCCACTCTGGCAAGACTATTTTCACACCATTCAGACTAGATATGCTAAAGTCAAACTTGGTATTAACGGCCACCTTCCTCGTTCCCTTCACTTAGAATAGAAAGAAAAGGTTCTACTGTATCACTTATTTTCATTTGTATAAGACATTCAATGACATATCATACATAACAGTTTAATATCAACTTAATTTTACCAGGTGTTAACTGTTTATATGTCTATCACCCCATTAGACTGTAAACCTCTTGAATATGGTTATAGCTGTTGTCCCTAAGGATAACAGTTACCATGAACTGAGAGCCTATACATATCAGGCACTGTGCTATATAGTTTGTTACATTTAATTTCTGCAATAATCCTGTTTAGAGTATTTCCATCCACCACATCAAAATCCTTACTCTCACCTCTCCCTTTAGTCTAGTCTCCTGCACGCTTTAACAGTTGTCATGCAGGCACCCCATTAGAAGGTGCCTTGCCGGCCTGGTGCCCATAGCACACTGGTTACGGCGCCAGTCACATACACCAAAGTTGGCAGGTTCGAACCCAGCCGGGGCCAGCTAAAACAACAATGACAATTGCAACAAAAAATAGCCAAACGTTGTGGCAGGCTCCTGTAGTTCCAGCTACTTGGGAGGCTGAGGCAAGAGAATCACTTAAGCCCAAGAGTTTGAGGTTGCTGCGAGCTGTGAAGCTATGACGACATAGTGGGACTGTATCAAATAAAAAAAAAAAAAAGAAAAAGGTGCCTTGCCTTAGCCCACCTCGAACACCTCTCATTTCTGCTCTGAAGCTCTCTGAGCCCACAGCTGGAACTCTCTCTGCACTTAACACCTGCTCAACCTGGAGTGTGGAGGAGTTAAGGCCAGTGGGGCTGCATTTGACCATAGGGTATAGGGGCTAATGGATAACTGCTTTTTTTCTTGCTCATGGACAGTCTTGGTCTCATTTCATAAGACTCACAAGCACCTGTTGGGACTGAGCAGTCACTCGCACGTGTAGACATCTGGATGAGTCATTTTCCTCCTGGCTTCCCCTTCTTCCCTGTTTTATTCCAAGTCCCGAATTCCTGCTCCCTGGGGCTGTATTCCCAAATAAGCTATCTGCATGGCAACTTTTGCCTGCCTGAGACTGTGCCTCTAAGGTAACCCAGGCTGAGCCCTCTCTAAATCTGGCGTTTTTGTATTTATATTTTAGACAACTAAAGATTCAGAGAGATCATCTAATGTGCTCAAGGTCGACACAAACATGTCCCCTCCACTGCTCACACTGTCTCATGACACATGGTATTTTCAAGGCACACAGTATCCACTCACTGACCTACTTAGGGCTGGGCTAGGAAATGCAATTAGGTGGATAGAACACAAACAAGTTAGAACTTCAAATGCACATTACATTTTTAGATGATGCAGAAGGGACTGTTTCACATTAGTGAAAATTCTTGGCGTGCACAATTTGATGAATGAAAATTGTGTTTGCATTTACTTACATTCTAAAAATACAGATTTATGAATCAATAAAGGAGTGACAAATGCTCCAAATTTCCTGTTTACAGAAATATTCACGGAAACCAATGCACTCCACATCTGCTGCACTTCACTCTTTCCAACACCAGGCTATGCTGCTTGCTTTATTTGAGGCAGCATCAGAAGGACCCATTTAAACTACCAGTGCTGCAGAATTTCATCCTCCCGCTGATGTCAGTGAGCATTAATGGACTGGCAGGCTCTCCTACGTTTTCTTCTGTTCTGCACAATTGTTGGTCCATCTCTGAGAGTGGTAAGAGGATGCCCATGTGGAAATCCAGCCAATATTCCAGAAATAAAAAGCCTTAAAAATCTGCAGAAAATCAAAGTCCTCCGAGAGAACAATCCTGCCAGCCAGTCCTCCTCTTTTCACCAATGGTAACAACTTCCTGACTCCTGCTTCTTGCCCATACATATTACTCTGGGCTCAAATTTCTCACTACTGTTTTCTAACCCATGCCAAGCCCATTTAGTTCTTTCCTTTATCTTTTCTCTCCAAATCGTCACTATTTTCTTCTTCTACCAATCACAGGTTATTTTCCTCCCCTTCTTCATAGTCATATTCAGTGGCATAAGTTTGCAAGATTCATTTGATCTTTTGACCTCACAGTTCTTTAAACTCCTGATTTACTGTTGGTTTTTTCTTTTCCCATCAAAGGTAGGCACAGGCTCACTTCTTTGCTCCACAGCCACTAGGTGCTACTAGGCACAGTATTTTTACCACTCCCTTTATCCATCACAGGACAAAGTGAGATCTTGAATTCCTACCTGTCATTAAGAGTGTCCCCTGTGAAAACAGCCAAAACCTGTACAGCATGTAATATATGCCAGATACTGTGCCAAGCACCTTACGTTCATTTATGTTTCTTTAATCCTTATGAAAATTTTATGGGTGGAGGGAGAGCAGCTGGTGGGATCACACCTACAGCGCATCTTATAAGGGTAAATGTGAAATTTATTCCGTGTAGACTATAAATGTCTTAACACAATAACTAAGAAAATGCCATGAAGGCTATGTTGACCAGTTTGATAAAAGCATTTCAGATTGTGTGTAAAACCAGCACACTGTACTCCATGATTGTGTTAATATACACAGCTATGATTTAATAAAAAAAAAAAAAAAAAGAAGACGAAAACAGAGGGACGGCGAGGTTAAATGACTCATCAGGTCACATGGTGAGAGGAGGAGTCTGGATTCAAACCCCAGCATCTGAATTGCATCTGCCCTGCCCACCATAACCATCACAGCCTTATACCAGGTGGGGATGTGAGGACCAAGTGAACTAATACATTTATAAAGTGCTACCCATGCCACATGATCAGGGCTATACTGAGTATAAGCTTCTATTCTTATTCTGATTTGCTGCTGACAGCGAGACTAACTGCACTTGCACTTTATCCATGTTCAGGTCTCCCGTCTCTGAAGACCTTCAGCCTCACCGGTGATAATCTCATTCCTGGATAAAACAGACTCCATGCAGTTCGAATTTCACAAGCTGTGATTCTGTGCTGTATGTAGTGCCCTTTTGAGTCTCTCCGATCCTGCTGACCCTCTATTACCACTACGCCAGTCTGTGACACCAGCTCATTCCCGTTTTCAGTTACAGAGCAGAAAAGACCATGGTACAAAGTTTCTTCCAGGACAAACAGGCACCCTGATGGTAGCTACCAAGTGAAGAGTGGTAAAAATACTGTGCCTAGGAGCACCTAGTGGCTGTGGAGCAAAGAAGTGAGCCTGTGCCTACCTTTGATGGGAAAAGAAAAAACCAGCAGTAAATCAGGAGGTAAAGGGACTGTGAGGTCAAAAGGTCAAATGAATCTTGCAAACTTATGCCACTGAATATGACTATACAGAAGGGGAGGAAAATAACCTGTGATTGGTAGAAGAAGAAAACAGTGATGATCTGGAGAGAAAAGATAAAGGAAAGAACTAAAGAAGAACCCGTATGAGACTTTCCAGCTCTTCCATTTTTATCAGCGACACTATCATGTTCCAGCTTCTTGGACCAGAAGTCATAAATTATTTCCTTCCTTCATGCATATAACTAGCTGTTCAATAATAAATTAATTTTCCCCCTTCTGTCTCCTCTCTCTAGCCAATATGTGATTTTCAGCTTATACCTGGCTTGCTGTAGCAGCTTTTCATGGAGCTCTATGGTACAAATTCCTACCCAGTTACCTTGTAGCTTACTTTCAGACTTCCTTCCCAGACAATATGGTTGTTATGTGCTCTAAGAATGTCTTTTTCCCACTGTATCAAATCTAAAATGCACTGCCTAGTTTTACAGCCCTCCCTCAAAAGGGTCTTAAAATTTCTACTTGTTTATCCTCTTACTTTTCACTCCTAGTCAGGGTGAACCTTCTGACTCCAGTAAGGTAGGTCACCATTTCTGTTCCAAGAAATACCCGCCTCATGGTGCTCCTAGAATATCTTTATCCTTTCTCATCTCCAAATCCTACCCCTCTTAAGATCCAGTGTGAGCCTCAATTCCTCCATTAGCAGTGCAGATGCACTAGACCAACCTAGGCTAATCTTTTCTGTTCAACATTTACGGTCCATACTGTTAAACAACTCAGGACTCACTGGATACTTTGTTGCCGCAATGATCACCATTATTTCATAAGACCATGACAGTTCCTTCATGGCAGGAATTGCATTTTACACTTTTATAGCCCTCTGTCCCCAGAGAAATGTATTTATAATCATCTCTTTATATTGACTGCAAGTCTAATGCTCCTCGGTTCGCTATCTAACTCAAATGTAACAATTATGACTTCTCTAGCAGATGTCTGCACTTCAGCCAATTTATTCCTATTGTTTTTTAAAATAGTAATTCATTATCTACCTCAGATCACACACTCCTTTATTCACCCAAGTGGGAGAAGCAAGTATGAGCAGTGAACTCTTCCCCCCAAATATTCTACTGACATATCTGTAGTATTCCCCACAATGGTAGTTTTCCTAATCAAGGAAGGAATCAAGCAATCAAATAATGAATCGAGGGACAGCTTCCTATTCAAGGACTATCTTACTTAAAAAGAGTTTTCTGAAACTCTGTTCAAGAATGAATGAGAGGATTTGAGTTTCTAACATCAGGACCTCGTGAGCACATTTTTTCTTTTTGATATATTTGATTTCTGTGCCTTCTTTTATTGTTTCCAGTTTCTTTATTTATTAGTTTGCAAGTCTGATGAGGTCTGGACACAGTATATCTTTTTTGAAGACAGTACTTTACATGGGAATGTTTATGATTCTCTTATTCCCAAGAGTCCCCTGGCTAAGAAAATCCTACTTTAAGTATCACTTATTTACCAACAAGGAAAGAAATAAAGAATCTATCCCTGGAACATTCTTAGTTTCTTTTACACAAACCACAAGGATAAAGGAAGAAATAAAAATCTCTGAGACATCTTTTTTTAAACGTTTTTCCTCAGCTGCAGCCTGCTTCGTGGCATGTGTGAAGGCAGGATTCTGTAGTCTAGGACTTTTTCCCAGGGTGTATTTTGCCCTCTTGACGAGACGATGACGTTTCTCCAGATGTTTTCTGGGGGCTAATGCTTTTTAAATAAACAAAGGAAAAAATAGCTGAGTGTTTTTTCCCCCACTCTAAAGCAGGACAATATAGCACAGCAGAGCAATCCACGCACTCATGATCCGTGCACTGACAATCTGTCGGGTGGACACGTGCTGGCTGTGGTCTTTAGGTGGCGCTGACTATGGAAGGCCACGCTACGTGGCTTGACTCTACTCCCTGAATCTTTTCACGTTGGCATTTCCTTTTGTAATTACTCTCCATATCTAAGTGAGGCTTAGGATTGAAATCACATGACAAAGCATGGAGACAAAGGACATGGTACCCAGTCAGTTCTTCAAGACATTAGATTTTCAAGAAGGAACAGGCAGATTCTGACACAGGCAAGAGCTCGCTGGCTTTTCCCATCAAAGGTCAGCAGAGGACGCGGCTGTTACATCACTACAATTCTTTTTACATGAAGTTTTCCATTTATTTAGATAAAGAGAATGTGATTAGAGAGCATTCTGAAATTCCCTCTAGATATCAGACATCTGGAATTTCCTTAAGAGATCTATCCATTAATTGGATCACTTGCATGCTTCAAAAAATGCTCATTAGTAAGAGATAGTGCCATTAAAATGTAGACTTTTCAGCCAAATTGCTGAAAGAAAATAAAAATGAAGCAGTGGCTCAAAAATTTGATGCCAAGTGCTGTTACCTTCATCATCTCATTTGTCACAACAACTGCCACTTAAGCCTTAAAGTCACTTAAAGGACCCTGAAACTCTTTCCCTAAGGATTAGGGCCTTACTCGCAAAATCAGCTGACAAGCAGACCTCCGATGACGATACATCTCTACCATCTACTGCTGAGATTTAACGTTTAAATATGTACCACACATTCTACTTGGTACTGATGTGTGCTGTCTCTTAAAACGAACATCACCCTTGTAAGGCAGGTATGCTATTATCTCTATTGTACAGGTTAGAAAATAAAGCAAAAGAAATTACTCCCTTGTCCAAAGCCAAACAGAAACTGTGTGGCACAGAGAGGATTTGAATCCAAGTTTGACCACAGAGCCCAAGTTTGCCAACCCCGTGTGATACTGTCTCCACTAAGATCAAAAGCCTCCTTCTACGGAGTACTTCCTCAGTACTCAGGGCTGAGCTAATAAGCACCTTTTAAATATTATCTTTTCCACTGCAGGGTCAAATTCTACCTTTTCTGAACTGACTTTATAGTGTTCTAAAGAAACGCTTAAGTTGAGTGCACATAAACTAAAGTGAAGCTCCTGATGATTGCCCAATGCAATAAGATTCTCAACATAAATTCTTGAACTTTAGGGTTGAAACATTATCAGCACAAGACTGGACATACATTATATCTTCCATTTCTCTTACCAGAGTATGTTATGGATCAAGGCCAACTGAAATTTTATACCACCAAATTTTGTTGTGGCTTTAACTTTAATAAATACAGCCCTACAATTTAAGGGAAACATTTTGTTGTGTCGCTGGGAAACGGTCTTACCGCTGTATGTAAGAGTTATTCACACCACGGTGATCCAAATCGTGGCTTAATGCAGCAATCAGCAATGCAAGGATCTCCAGGTCTGTCAGCTTGTTCTGTAGGACAAGGAATTGAAGGAAAGAAAGAGAAAGATACAATTTGGTAAAAAGGCCATCTTATTACTTCTGTTCAGTTATCTTTTCTCCCTCAGTGGTTTACATATGTACCTATAGTCATAAAGGATTCGCCCTAGAATGCTATTTTCTGGGAAATTGGCTATACTTTGTCATTCAGAATGGGATTACTACCAATATCAATTATTAACAGATAAAGTTGAAATGCCTCAAAAACTAATAATCTGTCCACCTACAGTAAATATCATTAATTCTTAATTCTCTTTATAATGTTAAATAATCATAAATGTTAAACGATTGTTTTTTTCTCTTTTAGCTCCCTGCAGATCGTGCTTTATTTTCTGCTCAGTTGCTGTAGCTTTAAGGAATGTAGACAATCTGAATGTTAAGTAAAACAACAAAAAAAGATGATTCAGAATGAAAATTTGGCTTTAAAATAGTGCATAATATATTCCAGAATCAAACTTAGGTTTTTTTTTTTTAGAATCTGCCATTTGTATTATCTTCAATACTGTTTCCCCTCATTAGTAAAAAACATGAATTAAAATTATTATCTCTATTCTGCCAGACCTTTCAACACCCTAAGTAGGTTTCACAACAAACATAAAAATCCTCACTTTGTTATTCCTTACAAAAACCAAGGATAGGCCAGGTGTGGTTGCTCACGCTTGTACTCCTCGCACTCTAGAAGGCTGAGATGAGTGGATTGCTCATGAGTTCAAGACCAGCCTGAGCAAGAGCAAGACTGTGTCTTGAAAAATAGCTGGGCTTCTGGCAGGTGCCTGTAGTCCTCGCTACTCAGGAGGCTGAGGCAAGAGGATTTCTTGAGCCCAAGAGTCTGAGGTTGTTGTGAGCTCTGACACCATGGCACTCTACTGAGGGTAAAAAAGTGAGACTCTATCTCCAAAGCAAACAAACAAACAAACAAAGCACAGATAGTCTCATTGGTGATGATCCTTATGATCCTTCCATATTCCTATTTCTTAATACAGTATGAGCATCCTTAATCTGGAAATCTGAAATCCAAAATGCTTCAAAATCTAAAACTTTTTGAGACCCCATATGACACTCAAAGGAAATGCTTATTGGAGTTTTTTGGATTTTCAAAGTACAGATGCTCGACCAGTTAAGATAATGCAAACACTGCAAAATCCAACAGAATCCAAAGTCCAGACACTTCTAGTCCCAAGCATTTTGAATAAGGGATACTCAGCCTATAAATGTTCACTAGTGCAGAAAAAACTACTATGCTATTGCACATGGTTTCTTGGATAAAAATCACCTCTTTTAGACCCAAACAGTTAAAGTGTGCATCCTATGCAAACAGACAGAGAATGACATTTTTAGAATTTTAAAAAGAAAAAAAGCAGGGAAGCACTGACTTTAAAACAGTTATAGGATGGAGGCCTAGAATCACTAACCTAGAACAACTAGTTGATTCCCACTGAAGTTAGAATCTAAGGACAGAGATATGGATAAAATCTGGCCTGGAAAGGAACAGATTACTTGAACGTTTTCTGCACTGATCTTCCTTTCAAACAGTCTTTGGTTAGTGAAGATGAAACCAAAACTCTTTCTACAAAATATCACTTAAAATTAAATGAGTGCTCCAGAGAAAATGAGTAGACAGCCCTGGACTTATCTGTGAAGCCAAATTCAGGACTTGGGTGAGGAGCCGGTTGAACGTGAACATGAGAAATGTGATACTTTTTCTTATGTTCTCTTAATACTGTAGTGTTTTCCTCTGAAAGAAGTATTTATTTGCCCAAAGACTACTTGGGTATGCCCTTAAGTTATTTTAAAGGTGTTTTAATATGTTATATATATTACATATGAAAGAAAATTAGCAACTTATTATTTTGCCATATTAGTCTTCTTTAATTAACAAAATATAATTTATTATGTAAGTGGCAATAAATATTATTGTCCATCATTAGGGCACGTTAAAAAAAAAAACTTAAAAGAACATGTTGTAAATTTTACTACTAAGCAATGAGATGTCTTAAATACTTGAATGGCTCTAAAAAGTACCTGAATTTTGCCTGCTTTAAGAGCAGCAAACATGCACTGCGCCGTATTAAAGGCGTGTCTCCAATTATGATAGGCAACATTTTTCCGATAATTCTTCTTCACACTTAAAATCCATCTGCAAAGAACCTTTAGGGAAAAAAGCATAAGTGATAACAGTAATTGCTAACATTTATCACACATTTACGTTTATTATGTTCTGGGTATACTGCACAAGATACAACATCCATGTGTCATCAACTAGGAGAATCCAAAGCGTTAGTAGGAATGAATTCACCTTTAGAGAGCCATGAAAGCAGCCACTCTCAAGTTCTTCCCAGGCTTTTATGTTGGGAAGATTTAGTGCAAGGCCCTGAGTGTGGACTAGGAACAAAGCATTCAGAGTATGTCCAAGGACAAATTGGAGCTGTAAGTCCTAAGGCCATCATTAGATCTTTGTCCTTTCAAATTATGCTTAAATATTCAGGCAGAGTTACTATTTGGCTACCAAGAAGTAATTAAAAAAAAAAATATATATATATATGTATATATTTACACACGCACACGTGCAAAATAAAGCCCTGGGATTCATATGGAAAAAAGTACTTGATAAGAAAGGAAGAAAAAAGGGTACACTATTCAGCAAGTCTCACAGTTCATTTAATTCAACTTCTAAGTGGTGTATTAAATAAAATCTCCAGGGACTCGTGGGCCCCAAGCATGGCTAGTCTGTGTTTGTGTTAGTATCAGAGCCTGCCTCTCTTCAAATCTGAATGATTTACTAGACTTTTGGGGATTTGTAAAAGTATGTGCTTCTCCTTGCATACTATCACTAGGGATGCTTCAAACACGAAAAGCATTGCTCTGGGGGATGGAAAAAGTACCAAGGAGAAGAACATTGCTTTGACAATACTCCACACCACATGAGTGAGTACAGGCCAGAAACAAGGTTTCTTCACTGCTGTACAAACTACTTGGGAAGGATCTGATGGGCAATCAGTGCTTTTCTATCCTCCCTTCTCAGGTTTTTTTGGTTCCTATTCTGTGGCTCACAGGGAATTGTGATCACAAAAATCCCTGCTCTCTCTCCTAACCCCTTCACCATCTGAGTTGCTGTATTTTGAGCAGAGCATTATTGTGTGCCTAACAGTGACATGTGTTTGGCCCAAATACATTTCAGCTTCTTTTATGCTGACCTTTCTGAGTAAAGGTCTGTGGGGAGGATGAGGGATTTAATCTTACTAGGAGAATTTTAAGTAAGAGCTATAACCTTGCTTTGATAAGTGGTATATTTAGAAGCCATACAGTGACATCTTGAAGAAAATTACTGTTGATTAATTAAAGCAGCAAGATGAATAAGCAAGAAAATCCAGCAATTTTTAATCTATGGACATATCTTTTTCCTCATCATAAATTACTTGTGTTTGGGGCCCACGAGTCCCTGGAGATTTTATGTAATTAAGTATGCACGTAACAGAGCACTGTACCATGTGAGACCCTGTGAAACATAATTCCTGATGAAACTCTATTATGCTTCCCTTAAGATGGGCTAACAGATTTGGATAACCCAACGGATATAGTAATTAGTAACCAGTTTTGAGTACAGTTTTAGATTCGGTTACCAGGATGTTCTCAACAGCAGATAAGAAAAGTCAGGTCATAACCTGGTCAGCTCTCTGTGTAACTGCCTAGCAACATATAAATTTGTAATACAGTGTTTTCTACAGGACTACTGAGTAGGTTATCTGCAGTTTGGATGACTCTTGGAAGCCTGTTCTGCACGCTGAATCAGTCTTCAACAATTATGGAAGGCTTCCTAAGTCCTGAGCAGTATACTCGAAATGCCTTGGGAGAAAGAAAAGAAATTACATAGCTCAGTTCCTACCTCCAAGAAACTTAATCAGTACTGAAAATAACAAAGGAAAAAAAATAAACAAATAAACAAACATAAATTTGAGAGCACAGATGGATAAACCACCAAACAGCAAACCAAGTGGCATGAAGCCAGTCCTGGCGCTCTCTCTCTCACAGATTCTCCAGTCGGGCTCCAAGGAAGAGAAAAGTATGTTGTGGCACAAAGGGGAGCAGCTGTAACTCAGGGGAGGAAGGACACGGAAAAGATAAAAGCTGAAACTAAGCACAGACCACGTAAATTGGTTTGAGTCAGGCCAAAAGTC